GACGAGTGCTTGCGGTGTTCGGCCAATCACAATGCACTGGGTCAGCTGGCCAATCAGAGCAGACTGCGCTTGTCGGAAGGAGGGACTTTGTAGAAAACGAAGCGTTTGAGAGAGGCGGGGCATAGAGGACCTACAATAATGTACAGTATTTGAAAAATAATGTGTTTTTTGAACATTAAAGTATGTCAACATATTCTGTTACACCAAATACACAAAATACACAAAATAATGATCTTTAAAAAAAGCATCATATGACCCCTTTAAGTTTGCTCCGGTCGCTTGCGAGTCTGCGCCATGTTGAATGGATTCTTCTGAACATCGGTTAGAGCAACGAGGTGACGTCACTTTACGTCACTCAATAAACTTAAAAATAATAATTTAAATAGAAGAGTTTACTCAAAAATGCTTGAGCCACACAAAAATAAAACTAAATTCCTCGTTCAGAAAATGCAATTGTTATAAGTTGCATCAACGATTTAACAGACTTTAATTGCAGTGTTCTTAATCTTAGTAGTACTGTTCGGGTTTACAGTGCAGCAATAACTGCAAATAAACAGTTTCACCAGTTACACACTGGAGGAATTTTGACCCACTCCTCCTCACAGAACTGCTTCAGCTCAGTGATATTTCTGGGCTTTCGAACATGAACTGCATGTTTTAGGTCCTTGCTTTTGTTGTGGAATATTGTCTTGATGCGTAATCCAACTGTGCCTAAGATAGAATTCACAGATAGATGGTTTAACATTCTCTGCTACACAGCAGAATTTATGGTTTCTTCAGCTGCGACAAGGCATCCAAGGTCCTGATGCAGAAAACCATTCCCAAAACATTCACTTTTCAGTTCATCTGTTTGTAAGACATTGTTCCAGAACTCTTGAGGATCATCCAGCTGCAAACCTGAGACCGGTTTTAATGTTTGCTTGAGTCTTCCTTGCTGGTCTGCCATGGATCCCATTTTTCCTGAGGGTAGAGTCATGTTCACTGACCTTAGCTGCGCCCTAAGGATTCTTTGAATGTCCATTGTGATATCCCAGGCAACTTGGAGAGATTACAGCAGGATGGTTACTCATTGGACAAACTTGCAGAGTATATCTAATTTTAATGCATTTTTAAATTCACCTTAACTACAAATGAAAGGGTCTGTTTTAACTGTTGAGGACTGTTGAGTTGGGGCTGATCTAAGGCATTACTCTGGTTGTTGGTTACTGTACAAATAACAGCCTAAAATGAAATATTGATACTCTTACCAGGTTGTTTTATTGACTGGCTGCTGGTAAATGGAATTTGAGTGTCCTTGGTTTAGCTGGAGCTGATCTCTTGCATCTCCGCCTCGTGCTGCCCACTCTTTAAATTAGATTCCATTAATCAGAAAGTCTGGTCTGTTTTCTGTACAGCAGTAGATCTAAAGCTGCTTCCAGAGACCATCATCAGTTCTCAAAGGAGGTCTGTCTGTGCTCTGACACACCTAATTCATATAATCAATGGTTTGATAATTCACTGATAAGTTTTGTCAGAGCAGACAAAGACCAAATATATGACCCCATTCTGTGGGTCTATAAGAGCCGGTTCACAAATCACTGCATTACAGATCAAACTGTCAGGATAACAAAGAACGCTAGGGAATAAAATGTTACCCTGTCACTCCTGTTGTTCCCAGTCATTCAGTCAAAAAAAATGATCTTGTGTAGGATTCCAATTATAACCATATGCATGTAGACCCATCCATGCACAGCAGTCCTGGCGCCTGGTAAATGTAATTTATTGTGAAATTCACTGTTCCCTTTCCTCATTTCTATTCTTCCTCAGGTAATGTAGCGGCTGGCTCGCCGCGTCCGACTAATAAAGGGCTGCTTGATCCTAACATCTCGGAATAAATGGTTTTGTAAATCATGCTCATGTCTCCGGATTTTCATTTTTTCCCACGTGCCTCCTCACCTACGAGTGCGGAGTATCCCTGACATCTGACAACTATTCATTCCTTCATTCTGAGAGAGGGAAAATGATAGCCTTTTGGGAGGAGGAAATTTAGTATAGGCTAATCCAGTCTGGCAGCAACAGTACTCTGAGGCGTTGGTGCACTTGTAAACACCAGGGTTGTCATTATTGCCTTTCTCCTGTCAGTAAGCGGAGGTGTGTTCAATTTTGTGAGGACCCTCACAGTGCTCTCTATATGGGTGCTCTTGTGATGAAATATCATTCTTGTGTATTTTAGATTTGTGGTAATGATGGCTCATTGGCCAAAACATCAAATTACTCAGGAAAAAAAAAAGAGAATCAGAATGAGCTTTATTGCCAGGTATGTTTACACATCGTAACAGAAGCTTCCACAGTGTAACAGAATGACAGTGACAGAACAAAAAAAACAGATAATAAAAAATAAAAAATAGAACAAGTAAATAAGGAATAAAAATATACAAATTGACAGTTGTATGTATTGTATGTACAGGTATATAACAAGAGAATACCTGAGAGAGAGAGATGTTTCAAGGCAAGTACTAATTATGGTAGAGAGAAGCCTCAATTGTGTTATAATTACAGTTGATGATAATACTGCATGTGAAAAGAGCTGTTCTTAAGTGTTTACTTAAACCCCCCCCCCCCCCCCTGTCACCACTCATAT